TTGATAGTTTCCCTGTTTTCTTCCAATTATTTACATCATTATCAATCAAGACAGATGATGTTGAAGCAAAGAACTTGTAGCACAAACTGTAAACTGCATCCTGTTTAACTGAATAAGTAAAGTCACTGCTTCTATGCATCTTCTCCGTTAGGTTACAATAAATTGAAGGAAACCATTTTCTATTTTTATCCTACGTAAAGTAGAACAACTACATCTAATTTTGGTAAAAGTTGTTCCAAGTCGCCTCTGACGTCAATGACGTCATCACTTTCAACAAATGTCTTGGTATAATTTTGTTTTATTGTTTTATAGTTAGATAATTCTTCATCTCTTGAAAATCCACTTACTCTTCCTAATTTCTCGCTATTAAGATTTATATTTTCAGTGTTTCTGTCGCATATTTCATTGACTTAGAATTCGTCTTCACAAGATTTTCAATGGAACTTTTGTCTTTCTTTTCTGACTCTCCCCTTGTTGCTAGACATGTTTACCATCCGACATTTTATGATGAACGCAAATAAATAGACTGATTAGTAAATGAAATAAGGGAAACACTACTTTCTATGTCGATCTGCGCTGCACTCAATTAGGAATAAACTATTAGCTTACAGCTACAATCACACCTATTTATATAGCAAACTATAAGCGCTAATAAAAACAAGAGGAATTCTCAATAGCCGCGCCTGTAATCATATCTCCCATAGGTCAAGAGATGGATCTGTGAGCTAAACGTTTGTACTTGAAAAAACTCAGAGACATTCTATGACCCGCTATGCCGCGGATAACCAGTTTTAGAGCCTTTTAATAAGGTGGGGAGGGATCATTCTTGAACTTACTTTTCCGGTGCTGACAGCCACTCCAAGCGTATGGGCTTATGTTTAGCTTCTAGAACTAACTAAACTAATAACAAAGCCTTGGCCGCCGTGGATTAGGAAACTCCAAGCATTAACGTTCCGTATTGAAATAGCTTCACTTCTTTGGCATTACTAACACTACAAGTACTGCTGTTTCATATTAATAACTTTTAGCTTTTATTTCCATTTTCTTACTCTGTCTTTTGTTTCTCCTAAACTTTCTCTCACATATTTTTTTTATTTTGTACAAACTATATATTTTTCTGTTTTCTTTTTTTCATTTCTTTATTAATACTTCATTTCTTGCCACCTACTTTGTCTATCTGCAGACGACACAACTAAATGAAATGAATAGTATCAAGAACGTTTCGTTTAACGCAGTTTCGTCAACGGACACGTGTCTACGGTCACTAAAATGATCTACGTGCGCTAAATGAAAACATATGGACTCTCATACACACATATTGTCTATTGTGTAGTTATTCAAGTGAACGTTAGAACCTCCAATAATTGTGTTTGGAAATTTTTGAAATATTCACACTTGCAAAGGTGTTTTATAAAAGCTGATTTTCCTTCACAATTCGTTATTTTTCAATCCAAAACTATTTGACACTTTTTTCATTTTTTCTTCTTTGAACTTTGTTAATATAACGATTAAAGGAAAATACACTGCGTAAAAATAAACGCATTCTTGTCTTGAATGGCAAGAAAAGGAACTTGTTTCGGAATATTAACGATGTTGCGTGTTTGCTAATCCTATAATACAGAGTAATCAGATTTACCAAGGACTAAAACATTATTAAGGAGGAACATGAAAATGACCATCTTATAAGAAAGGGCGTCATAGAAACACATTGTCCTCTTTATAGGGATGAAATTTTATGGTTCAGTCTCCTTAAACAATCTTTGCATGACCTGGTTGAGGCTTATTTTTTTCAACAAAGTTATATATGTTTGACAAAAAGCATTGGGGCAAAGCATATTTAAACAGTTTTGTATTTCCAGAATCAAACGGATTCATTGTTCCTTTATGTCAAAACGACTTATTCTTGAACAAACGTGTGTTTGTATAATGCACATTCTTATATTCTGCCATGCATAGTCTTATTTACGAAATACTCTGGTAAAATTAGTGCAATTTATAAATAAACCGTTAAAGTTCAGAAAATTTAGTTTAAAGGAAAATCTGACGCTTGTAGGACATATCTTCACATTTTACAACACAAATATACATAGGAGGTTCCCCCCCCCCCCACCTCCCCCGGAGGATCAGCTATAAGCTCGTGGACTTACCACACTAATAGCCGGAACTCGATTCTCAGCGGTGACAAGCGAAGAGAGCTCACTGTGAAGCTTTACGGTACCCAAAACATACAAACAACATACCCAGGAATCACACATATTTACATGATAATGAAAACTAGGATAATAGAGACGCATGTTTGAGGCTACTTTGTACAAAACAAACGAGCAAACTCTCTGAATCTTCGGCTTCTTAGGGCTTATTAAAGAAGGAATAAAAATTCATTCTGATAAAAGTATAGAAGGAAGCATCACGAGATAGGCGAATATGCAATTCCCTTGACGTGTACTGGCGCGCAGTTTGATTAACACACATTTTCATATTATAAAGTCCACAAAATATCGCTCCAGAAAATCATATTGTAAAAATCAAAGTGCTTTTGTAAACGGCACTCGCCTCGCAACCTGAGGGTCGCGGGTTCGAATCCCCGTCACACCAAACATGCTCGCCCTTTCAGGCGTGAGGGCGTTATAAT